AAAGGTGGCTTACTTATTATCAGGAGAGAAGAACTGAAATTTGAATGACATCTACAATTTGTATGTTAAAAGCCATCTAAAGATTAAAGGAATATATTTGAGTTTCTGGATTTAGTTTAGGACTGTACAGTAAAAATGGTGACAAAAGCTTTAGCAACTGTTTTTGACTTGTTTTTAAGTGTTCTTTTTTGGTGGCACTCATGGCTTGAGCATTTCCAACCCATAATTGCTTTTTCCTTCCCCCACTTCTTCCCCCTTCCCCCACACTTATGCCAACACAGCTCCTTGTGGGAGTGCACCATCAAAAGGAATGGTCATGTCTGAAAACCTCTTTTCTCTCCCTCTTCCCTCAATTTTCACTTCCATGACAGTGCCATGTTTCAGAGCACAGTCTGATGAGCAGCGCAGAAGCTGGCATTGGATGTTGGTTAGCTGGAAATTGCAATTACCCTGTCATTGCTACAAAAGCATGGAACCATACTGTACCATGCTCCGATTAACTGTCGTGAAGTCCTTCTGAGAAAACCAAACCTACCTAGACAGGGTCAGGACCTGTGAGGTAAAATATACACTAAGTTTGAAAAGATTCAAGGAAGATTCTGTTAAATCATCAGAGAGAAATCATTATTTTAGTAGATTAAGAGAGAAACGTCAGTGACTAATTGTTGTTTACATGTTGTGTTTGATCCTACTATCGCTTTGCTATTCTCTTGAGGAAGAGCAGGAGTGGCCCATCATATGAAAAAGAAAAGGTCAGAGACAGGAACTATTATACTTGCCAATTCTTCAGGTTAAGTGCAAAACTCAAGAAGTGACTGTGCTGTAGCATTTAGAAGTGTGCAGAATCAAAAACTTATTTTGAGGGAATCTGATAATTTGTTTTCAAATATACAGTCCTCGGGGATCTGGAACGGTTTAGATGAAGTTAATAGCGATATTTATTAATTTGTTCTGTAGCATATAAGAGTGAGGTTTGTGTAAGCTAATCTTTAAAATGGTTTAATACTACCACTATGAAAATGGTAAATCTTTGCAAAAATGGGGAGTTATTCCAAAAAAGCTAGAAATTAGAACAGATTAAACATGAACATGGAGAAAAGTAGGAGCGTTGAAGGCTATTGTAGGACAAGTTTCAATAAACTTAATTTTTCAAGGCTAGACTGATTTTAAATTGAATGCTATTTATTTAAGCTGCTGGAGCTTCAGGAGTTGTAAATAGTGACAGATGGTGTACTGTCCTTTCCTGTCATCTTTCCAAATTGCTTTGCAATTTATCTCAAAACTCCCCAAGTCTGCAGTGTTCATGGTAAGACAGAGGTTTTAAGTGAGAGTTTTAAGAGTGGATGTTAGATGGGAAAGACCTCATCAAGAAGAACGTAAATTCATCCAGTTAACCAGTGGGACACTTGCTACTGGGAAGTTTCAAAGTTGCCATAACTTACAGTGAATTGCAAAGGGCTTTGTATATAACAGACAAATAAATAAAGGCATCCAGAGGAATTCTGTGAATCTAAACTTCTAATTGCTGCCACTGATGACACCATGGTCAATTTTCAAAGTTCTCCTATATTATTTTATGAAAAATTTATTTTAATAGAAAGCAACTTTTCACTTGGTTTTGGAAAACCTTTAAGAATGTATGTTAATATTACTTGCCTAAATTAGCACTTGGGGACAGAGGGATTTTACTCCTGTGGGTGAAAAAATTATGCATAACCTTAAGTGCTTATGTAGCTGGAGATCTTCCTCATCTTAAAGGTCATAGTTACTGAGAAACTGATGAGGTGGGAGAAGTCTTTAGACCTATGGAAAAGGAAATCTGGGAAACTGTATATGAGGAATGGGGTTTGGGATCACTGTTTAGAATAGAACATCATTATTTTTCTGTAAGGCATCAATATCAGAGATGGGTAAAATGTCTAAGGCAAAACTTTCAACTTGAAAATTTTGTTTTAATTTCCAATACAAAGTTCAGGGCAAATTCACTAAAGTTTGTGAACCCTCCAGCAGCAGTAGTCTAAGTTTCAAGCAAGCCTGGAAAGATATATAGTTTTGGGTGCAAATCAGGATGGGTTTGATCCCAAGCCACTTTTGCAGCATTTTTGGCTGCATGTAGCTTTATATTTAAACCTTCATTTCAGTCCAGAACTCAGACTTGCTCAGACTGAAGCTTTTGCTTTTGCTTAAAGCTTTTGCTTTAATACTTCAGGAGTAAATCTAACTGGAACATTTGAGTAATGCATAGGACTAATAAGCATTGTCTTACATGAATGAGTTTGATTCCAGTTCAGCAGTATGGTAACAACAGAAACATTCATGCTTCTAAACTTTAAAGTTCCTGAAGCAACATACGGGTCTTGTGACCCAATCTTTCATGGATAGTTTTCCTCAGAATAGACCTACTCCTGGTTCTACACCGAGGCTCTGCAGAAAGGTCTACCATAGACTGAACTACTTCCAAACGGTACATAACTTCTTTACTCTGAGGGTGACTGAGCACTGGAACAGGTTGCCCAGAGAGGTTGTAGGGTCTCCTTCCGTGGAGATATTCAAAACCTGCCTGGACACAATCCTGGACAATGCGCTCTAGATGATGCGGCTTGAGCAGGGGGGTTGGACTAGGTGATCTCCAGAGGTCCCTTCCAACCTCAACCATTCTGTGATGTTAGTATTCTTCCTAAGCATTACTTCTGGTTTAATCAGTCAAAAGTAATTTTTTAAAAGTTAGTCCTTACAGACTTTTTGACCCTGTAGAAGTAGATTCTTTCAGGCAGGTCTGAAAATTTTCTCTATTCTGTTCCATGTAGCGCAAGGCCCTGGAAAAATTTCTTGCAGGAGCCACATGTTGTTTCCTGCAGCTCTCATGGATTTCTTTGTGCCAGTAGTCCCAGTAAGGCTACCTGCAATGATGGTGGGGTCAGACTTTCGATAATGCAGAGTAAATGATGGTCCTTGTCTCCATTTCCTTGTACAAAGCTTTGACATCTGTTGAGTTGAAGTGCTAGATAAGATGTTACTAATGCATTATTATTAATATAATAATACAATTTATTGTTATTGTAAATGCTGGAAGCTTTTTTACAAAAGCTGTTGTCGGGGACTGATTTTTTTGCTGCCAATGGTAGTGTATTATTGTTTTATTACTACGAGTATCCTTTCCTCTTTGTTACACCTGTATTGCAAACTTTGAAACCTTTGCTGAACAAGCCTCCAGCTTTTCTGAATTTGCATGGAATTACTATGGCTTGGCTTGGAGTTTTCTGATGTGGTAGTTTCTGTTCATGTCCTTTGCTGGACATTTCTTTCCTGTCTGTGAAGGGCAAGCTGATAAATAAGATGACTGGGAGAGGAATGCAAGAAGCTTTTAAATAGTAGTATTGGGAGTAAATCCACAGCTTTTCTGGCAAGATCTTAAAGAGTTACCAGGTAATCACTTCCTTCAGAGCCAGCTACTATTAGAGAATTCCTAGGAATACACTCTGTATGTAAGATGCTAAAAACTGGAGCCCAGGTGAGGCGGAGTTTTAAGGTCCGGTTTTCTAATAGGAAATGGACAGATTCCTTTTCCTGTTCAGTTCAGCAAAGTGTTTACAGGCTGGTCCCCAATGCTAGTACTATAAATCCAAAGAATTATTTGTATTGAAAACAAGCAAACCTAAACCTGTGATTTTGCAGCAGAGTAATTTATATGTGCATGCAGGTAATATGAGGGAAAATTCACCACAGAACTGTGTCTCCTCACCAGCCTTGTATCTTCACCCTTGCTACCTCTGCCTGTGCTCCTCTTCTCAGAGCGATCTCAGCTTCTAACCCTCTGCTGCCTCCCTCCCCTGCCTGCTCCCCCTTTGGATGTTGATTATCCAAGGATTTTTTTCAAATTATTTTCAAGCATCAGCACTTCTAAACAGGATGTAGAATATACACATGATTGTAGACCTCTGAAAGCAAAACTCTCCTGCTGGACTCTATTACACCCAGGCTGACTGTATCAGTGGAAACAGTAACTCCTTGCAGGATAAACAGAATTTCTTCAAAAAGGCAAAAGAACTTGCATCATATACTGCCAATCACTCTAAGCTAATTTGCTAAGTATTAAAGAATTCAGAACTCAGTTCTGATCTGACACTAGCTTTTTCTAATTCTAATTCCAAGTAAGAGAATTACACCTGACTTAGATTACTGTGAAGTCAGAGCACAGTTGGGCCATTTTGAGATGTTCCTGCATGAATCTGCTAAGTTTGCCTACTTGGTGATTAAATAAAGTTAGCCTCAGAGAGCTTCCAAACTGAATTTGTGTGTTACAAAAATTCAGCTTGAGGTTTTCATGTGATGGTACCGTATAAACTTGATTATTGTTTCAGAAGGCTTGTAATCTTAAAGAGAAAGGGTGAGTGAAATAGTTAAAGCGCACAGACTAACTGGGATACTGCTAGACTGAGATTTTAATAGTGTCTTTTTTGCGGTGTGTGTCTATAAAGCCTCCTCTCCTCCCTCTTATCCTGAATTCCTCTCTAAGTAACCATTAGATTTGCCTTTTCTGTTTTAACTGTTAGCTTTTCTCCCTCTTCATTTAAACCGCCCTCTTAGAAAGAAGTCTGAATATGTAAAAAGCTTTTGAAACGTGCCCTGAAGCATGTATGCTGATGAAGCACATACAATGTAATTATGGATAGCACAATGCAACTTCATGAAGAGCCTTTGTTTACAGCTTTTCTATCATGAGAGTAGAATGAACAGATTCACTGAGAAAATGTAAAAGCAGATGCCTTTGGCTGGCTCCTGTTGTTCTTTTTTTGGCAAAGACAGAGGGACGAATCTATCCCTGGGACAGCCCCACTGAAGTCGGATGAATTACACCAGGCAGGAACTGGAACTTATTTTTCCTCTTCTTCTTCTTCTTCTTCTTCTTCTTCTTCTTCTTCTTCTTTTCTTTTTTTTTTTTTAAGAGTACAGTTTCCAGATCTCTTTTTCCCTGACTGTCACAATTTCTGTTTCCACAGAAAGCCTGTGAGAAAAGACTCTCTGCTTCTAAAAAGGTAGGATAACCTTTTAGTCACTAATGGCTAATTTCCTCAGCAGTAAAGAGCTCTGTATGTGCCTACCAATGCCTGTAATCATAAAGTTAGTATCTAACTATTTATAGAAAAAGAATATACTAATATTCTAAGATCATATTCCTTGAGGGGGACAGTAAGAATGGGCAACACTGGGAGAGGGATGGAGTACTAACACACAGCTGTGCTGCTTCAAGTGCATGAAGTATGCTCGAGAGCTGGCCTAGGTATCAGCATACGGTATCCCGTTGTAATGTATACACATACCCTGCTTGTAACATTGGACAAAGCCTCCAAGTGTAGATGTCTATGAAAGCACCTCATTCCCTGGAAGTTTCAGGAGAGAGGAACCTGCAGTAACTCATAATATATCAGCTATGTTTGTAAACGCTAATCTTCAATACAAATTTATTAGGGCAAACCTGGGGTTACAGTTTATAAAACAGTGTATTAACAGAAGTTACCAGGACTTTGCTTTGTGCTTGCTAGTGCTGTGGCCATAGTTTTAAGTCTTTTTTACCTCTACTCAGGGCCTGAATGGTGGTTCCCCTGTAAAACCTGCCATTTACAATTTGCCTTTTGCTGAGGCCTCCTTTGTGTTCACACAAGCAGCTGGCAGGACCGCTGACCTCCCCAGAGCAGAGCCTTGCCAGCACTAGCTAATCAATATTCAGCGGAGTCGGCTGCTCATTACAGAGCCATTGATTATCTCTGGAAGGTTACTCTCCCTGTGTGAGTGGCATTTTTTCCCTTTACCATCCATCCGCTGTCCCCAATACCCAGACTATTGTGAGGACAGAGTACTGGAATGGAAATGAGGTTTCATTTCAAGATCTGAATAGTTTTTTCTCAGATATCAAAACAGTCTTTGGAAAGAAGATAATTTCCCCACTGCCAGGTGTTTGTTTATACCAGGATTGTACATTTAATTTCTAGGACGTTTCTAATGATTGTTAGGTTGTGACCCTTGAAGCGTTTGTCATATTTGACTTAGTCTCTTGGCAGGTTATATTAGTTACGTTGAGCCTTTGGCTCCTGTGATTGAAGAAAACTCCACACATCTTTTACACAACTGTAGCTGACTTGTCTGCCTGACAGTCTCTGGCACAGAAGGGGGGAGCCATGGCTTCATATTCCATGCTGCTCACAAGGAAATGGATAGGGAAGTTCAGAGAAATAGAAGCATGGTGCAAGCCCTAGTGTGCTGGCTTGCTATGCTCAGAGTATACCCACATACAATACACAGTCAATTCTTCTTCTCTAGCACAGCAGGGGAAGCCAATGAGAAGATTGGCCCAGGATGCTGCACCTGACCGTTACCCTGAAGTCAGTGTGGCAAAAGTCATAGCAAAGTCTCTCCTTTTAAATAGGGATTTTCCTCTTAAGGGTGCATTCACTTCTCAATGCAGCAGTAGAAAACTGTGAAATGAATATGCAAATCTAAAGACTTGACATTGGAGTGATTGGATAGATGCCAGATATATAGACTGATATAAAAGAATCGTAAGGATAATTGTTTTGCTGAAGGTGTGATTACTTTGATTGTAAATTTGGCATTAACAATTAGAAGGCAGAGCCTGAAAAAGGCAGAGCCTGTGGCCTCAAAGGAGGGGGACAGACAACTAAGAGATGAATGAGTGAAAGAAAGGCAGCTGGCAAAGAATACAATACTTAATCTCCACTGAACCAGTCAGTTCAAGTTAGTACCCTCTCTGAAGAGCAGAAACTGCACTGTGCTGTGTCTATCCACATGTGCAGAGCAACTCCATTAGCAGAGGGATCGTACTAGGAGTTGATGGGTGATAATTCAGTGTCCAGTTTTCCCTTTGTAATTAGGGGCTTGAAAGTCAGTAGCTCTCAAGCTTCATCCTGCTTGTCTCTGCTTAGCTTGAATTTAAAACATCACTAAATTCAAGCTAAATGTTTCTGTCTGCATGGGAGGAGAGTCAGCAATGCAAATCAAAGCATGAGTCAAGTTATCAAAGTGATGAAGGTGAGCCTCTTTTCTTTTACTGCCCCTAACACTTAAGGAGTAGCTGTTGCTTCATGGAGAGCAGACCTGCTGTCTGCGTCTGCTTTTTTACAAGGCAGTGCCTTCATAGGGAACTGAAAGCCAGAATATTGATTAATGCAATGAGACTCCTGTAACAGATGGCACTGTTCCCTGTACATGGGAAAAACATAGCCCATATGTGACTAGCATCTTGCTTTGGTGCATCTTGGTACATCCCTTAGAGTGGACTCTGGTTTGTCAGGTGCTGGTGATTTAGCCCATGTCTCCAAGGGCTAGTTCAGATGCCAACCATGTGACCATTGACAGCAATATGATCTTGTCCAGTCATTAGCACATGCCAGAGAGATGATGAAAGGGATGTGAAAAATGGCAAGCTGGCATTCAATGGGGTTTGTTTAGCCAAGGGGGTTTCCTGTCAGCCCTCTGTTGTCCTGATCCAGGCACAATGACACAATGGATCTGTCTGGTTGCCAGAGAAAGTTTGATGAAACATAGATCAGCAGTTAAAGTAAAAGGAGACAATGGAGAGAGAGTCCCTTAGCCTGAAGACAGGGAGCTCTCCCTGGCATGGGGAAAGAGTGATTCCCTATGTCATCCTGTTTGGCAGAAAGTGCTTATTTTTCTGGTTTCAGTTGTCAGCCCACTGGCATTAATTAATGTTTTGGCTGTTATCTGCAAAGAGGCTGTGTCGCTACTCGAGAGAGGTGATGCCTGAGGTATGATTTTGTAATAAGCTTGAAACAGACATCATTTACATCCAGTTTGATTTTCAGTTCTTTTTTTAGAAACACACCTGAGATATATTCAAGAGGATGAGATGAAGGACTAATACTATACCTTGGTCAGATAATATTATCAATGTGTTTCAAAGGAAATCTTAGCAGAGAGTATACCGTTCCTATTCCTCTATTAGGTAGACTTCCTCTCATTCCATTTATATTGACATTACCTTGTAGTAATCATTGCAGTGAAAAGTCCTTGAGAGAAAAACTGAACTGAGTGTGTTTCTAGCTATTGCAGCAAATGGAATAAGGTAAGTTAGCATGCTGGAACCAACCAGCTCACACCGATCGCCAGCACATCTTTCTGATGCAGCATCAGCATCTGTCCTCTGTAACCCCTTTCCTTATTGTTCATACCACTTGTGCTTTGGGTAGGTAATAAGCTGCTAGAGGAGTAGAGCCCTCTTGGGGGTACGGTGACAGCCGGTGGGTTAAAGAGCAGTGAGCTCTTCCTGAAACACTATATGAAAAACCTCCAAAGAGACCTGAAACAGCCTCTGAAGAAATCTTACTGTTTAACCGCAGAGTACATTCAGATATTTCTTTCTGGATTTTCATTATGCAGATTACGCCTTCTAGCTGCAGAATGACATTTAGCGTAGCAGAAAAAAAAGATCTCATATGAACAATACCATGTTACATGTACTGCAGTTTTAAAGAACAAGGCAAACCCACTCAGTTTTGACTTTGGACTCTTCTGATGTTTAGTGAATATAGTAATGTGTTTAGCTCCATTGATTCTGTTTATAATCTGCTGATGGAATTTGCATCATAAATATGCAGATTCATTAGACATCATTACTAGGAGGAAGTTTGAATTTTAAGTTATATTTGGTTTCAAAAGAGCTTTCAACCATCTTTCAATACTGCAGTTCATCTGCTAGCTTGATCTTGTCTAACACGAGATAAACCTATGGTCTTCTCTGGTTTAAATTCCTGGCTAGCCATGTCTTATTGTAAAACAGTCTGGATGGAATCCTTCAGGGTACATTAAACTATTGTCAGGATTTATGTTTAAAAAAAAAAAAGGCAGAGCTCTGGAGACGCCAAGAGCTACATGAAACTTGGATAAAAATACATGACAAAGAACAGGATTTGGTGCATGTGAGACAGAAAGATGTCCTGCGTATATATTATACTCAAACTGAATATGAGAAGCCTGCATTTTCAAGTATGTTGGGAGGTTAAAGTATGTTCATGAGGTTGGAATAAGTGTGTTCAGTAGTCAGACACATCCAGGGGTGATCTGGATCTTCTTTCACTCATGATACTGTATTTTCAACAATTTTTCTCATTTGAAATGTTCTCACTTTCTATTTTGAAGTGCAACAAATGAATGTGAGAGCCATATCAGGTATTTGTAAATCTTACCCTTCTCACTGTACCTATTAAGAGCTGGCTAAAAACTAAAGCCCACCTGTAAACCTACAGAACTATTTGCCTATAACCATGCCCAGTGCACAACACTGTGCCCAGCTGCTAATGGACATGACGTGTTTTCTTGCGTAAATAGCAAAATTAGCATCTTCACACCAATGGACTTCTTTATGAGGATTTTATACATTATGCAGTTAATCTGCCCGCTCCATGGCCTGGTTCACTTGTGAAAGCTTAGCAGCTATGGATCAGACCCCATTTATGCACATATTTATTAAATATTCAGATTCTTTCCCCACATGTGCCCTGATGTATTAATGTGGCTCCTTTCCTGCCTAACAAATGTAGAGTTAGTAGATGTCATCTATGCCCCAGTTTCCATGCCAAATTAGAGGGCAAACAGTGAGCTTCCACTTGGAACAAGCAACTCATAGTATTAGGCCTGCATATCCAATTGTCAAATTCTGTGACACAGCCACTAAATCTTAAGGGAAAAGTAGGGAGTGTTTAATACATTAAACTTGTGGATTATTTTCTGTAGCAGAGTGATCCCTATTTCTTATGCATTTAGATGCTGCCATTTTCTTAAGCCTGACTTACAGGAAATAAACTCAGCCTTGTTGTATGGATGCACCTGCTCACATCCCAAACTGTAAAGAGCAGTCTTCAGCTGGTTATTATCTTCAGGTTATTTTGTATTTACTGTGAATGCAAGCTATGAAAACAAAGATAGAATGTGGATTCATTTGTCTGCAATTACAACTTGCTTGCATTCTGGTACATCAAAGGCATTGTACTTGCAGGAAGAG